TCAAAGCCATTGAATTACAGGGCAATGTCAGCTGATATTGCAGATGGTTGACAAAAATTACTACTATTGAAAGATCTACCATCATGGAGCTCAGATCTGAAGATAGTAAAAAAGTTGATTGGCATTTGAAGGTCTTTCAGACATTCAAGCCAACTGCATTTAAAGGTGCATGTGACCCAACAGATGTTGAAAACTGGTTATTGAAAATTGGGAAAATTTTGGATGGTGTGATTTATTTAGAGAATAGAAGAGTGGTGCTAGGCACTTTCATGTTAGAAGGCGAGATAGAGAGATGACACAAGCACAACATAGAGATAAATTTTAGTTGACACCTCTTCCAAAAGTTCATTAAAGGCTTTTCACAAATAGCTATGTCATTGTCCAAACTGATGAAGAAAGAAAGTGAAATTTGAGTGTACTGAATAAAACGAGCATAGTTTCCATCAGGATTAGGAGGATTTCAGATTTTCAAAGACACAACATTTACAGGTTTGGGATGTATTCCAATACCGAGTAATAGCCTTGCATCAGGACAATTGAAGACGCATGAAAGTAACTATCTGATGCATGATTTGGAATCAACTGTAGTTTTTGCTTTTAGGATTTAGAGACACCATCTATATGGAGTGAACTGTGAAGTTTTCACAAATCATCAGAGCCTGAAATATATTTTCACAGAAAAAAATTGAATTTGAACCACAAAAGATGGATAGAATTTATCTAGTACGTTTTGGATATACAATATTGTCATGGTAGAGCAAATGTAATTGTCGAAGCCCTGAGCCATAAATTTATATGTAACGCAAACTGGATTATTACTCAGGAGCTGATATTGATTAAAAAGATAGATGTCTTGTAGTTGGAAGTCAAAAGACCAAGTGATATGAGATATTTATATTAGTTAATAGTGCAACCAACTCTGATGACAAAATTAAAGCAGTTCAAAAAGTTAATAGTGAATATTTGAAATTCTTAAAGCAACTTTAACTAGGAAAGAAATCGGATATGATTGTAAATGAAAATGGTGTTATCAGAAAGTTTGAGACAAAAAATCTTAATAATGTTCATCATTAAAGATACACAATTTATCCAAACAACAAAATGTATAAAAATTTGAAACTAATATTCTAGTGGTCAAGTTTGAAGAAAAATGTTATGGAATATGTGTCTAAATGTCAAGCTTGACAAATTATCAGGGCGATGCATCAGAGACCCGTGGATTGTAGCAATTATTGCCTATACCTTAATGAAAATGGGAAGAAATTGTGATGAATTTCATTAAGATTTCCTAGATCCAGATAGGGCCATGACAACATTTGGGTAATTATTGACAGGCTAATAAAGTCAACTTATTTCTTGTCAATTATGTTTAACGATTCATTAGAAAAGTTAGCAAGATTTTATGTCAAGGAATCATCAGATTGCATTATATTACAAAAGTTATTGCTTCTGACAGAGACAAAAAATTCACATACAGGTTTCGGAAAGGCCTTCAAAAGGTTTGATTATGCATTTATATATTAGCACAACATTTGATCCGCAAACTGACGTACAATCAGAAAGAACAATTCGAGTATTGGAAGATCTATTGAGGCAGTGTCCTTGGTTTAGGAAGCAGTTGGTAAGATCACTCCCAATGATCGAATTCTCCAATAATAATAGCTACTAGTCCAATGCAAAAAATGGCTCCTTATAAAGCACGACATGACAAAAATACAAAACTCCATTGAGTTGGGTTGAGATATGAGAACGTCAAATGATAGGTCATAAATTAGTTGATGAAGTTATAGAGAAAATTAGATTAATGAGAGACAGATTGAAGGCCACTCAGAATCCACAAAAAAAATAGTATCACTCAACATAGAGCAGTGGAATTCGAGGTTGATAATTTTGTATTTTTAAAATTCAAACCAAAGAAATGTATAACAAGATTTGGTTATAGAAACAAGTTGAGTCCCAGATAGATCAACCCTTTTTAAATCATAGAAATGATCAATCTAGTTGCTTACATGTTAGTTTTACATGCTGAGATGTCAGATATCGATGATGTGTTCCATATTTTGATATTGAGGAAATTAGTTTCAAATGCAGAACAATAAATTTAATATAAAGATATAGTAGTGCATAAGAATTTAACTTATATTTAAAAGCCTAAGAAAATCTTAGAAACATATGTTAAGGAACATATAAATTTTTGACAGACCTGAAAAAGAAGCTACATGGAAAAAAAACAAGAAATGCAATAAAAATAACCTTTCCTGTTGGGGAAGATTCAAAAATTTCGAAGACAATTTTTATGAGGTGAGAGTTGCAACATCCAATTTTAAAAAAATGGATAAAATTTTGGTAATTATAAAATATTACCAAATGTTTGCATTCCTTGAAATACGAACGAATCACTTTTATAAAATTTTACATCTTGAATCGATCAACTTGATACATAACACTATGCATTAATTATAAATGAATGGGGAGATATAAATTGTTGCAATTATAAACTTAAGTAAATCTTATATAATCTTAATATTTACTTAATCCCTTATTATTGTTCTCAGTTGATCCTCTCCCGCACTAAACAACGCATGTAGTGGCTGAGATGAAATAGGATGACTATGATCAGTTGTATATATGTTAAATACTGCAATCCCCACATTGAAGTTTCTCGTTTCTTCCTCCCGTGAAAGACCCTCCGGTCGGCTACCATAGCAGACGCGATCTAAGCTATGACAAAAAGTCGTAGCTCATAGCTGAGGGTTCCAAGGAGAAATCAGTAAGTAGAAAGGTATCAGGAAGGTATATTTATGCCGGGAAGCCCTTTTGAAATAAAAAAATAATTTGATTTATGTTTAGGGTTTAAACCAAAGCATAAGAAAAAATTTCATAAAAGCCTAAGGGATTTGTGATTCCAAGTGGTTTACACAATGCGACGTACTCGAGGCAAGATTGAGAAAACTCGTTATAAGGTTGTTCCGTCTCAGGTGAAATAATGATTTACTAAATTAAGAATGATAATTCTTAGGACTCTTATATTATGATTTTTTTGACCTACAATTGCATTAGAATTTTCTACATATTGTCAAATACCTACAAAGATTACATGAATGTCAGCTTGAATTGACACTGACGATAATTATGATTTTTCCCAATTGTATTAATATGATGAGCATGTTTATGAAATCTTCACATGCAGGTAAACCTATAATATGATTTATGCATATTATTTATAATCTTCCTAAAATGAATGATTTTTATAGGAATTATGATTTCGGAAATGTCGCAAATATTATGTTAAGTAGACTATTGTAAGAATGTTTGCAAATACTGATGATATGAAACGATGAGATTCCCAACCTTTGGTATTTAGAAGGGAGACATCATTCAAGCACTGTTGGTATTGAACCGTGATGAAAAGTAGAGAACTATTGGTATAAGATGGCGACGGAAAGTAGAGAATCATTAGTATCAAATGGCTATTGATAACTACTAAGTTGGGAGAGGGTCAATCTTTATCAATAGTTAACTAGCCTTCGTGCTGAGTGACGAATCAATGACATTAAATGACATGAAAGTAGTCATAACCTATTAAATTACAAGTGACATTTCTATGATTACAGTAATTGAATATGAAATTCTTATGAATATGCATATGATTGCATATGGATGGATGAAACGAATGATGATACATGTCATGATTTGCAGCATTTAATGACTTCATTTAGATGTTTTATATGATTAAAGCATGTTGTGATATATTATATTATCCTGCATACGAATTAACAGTGATCATGCATGCTATTTCTTTTTTTACTATAATTTTTTTTTTTGGCTTTCATTATTTTGTTGAGCTTTTAGCTCACTCTATATTGTTGACTTGCAAAAAAGAATAAGGAGCACCAAGCCAAGTAACCACATGAAACATATAAAATCTTCGCATTATATACTTTAGAATGTTATACAGATTTTTGGGTACATGCTTTTATTTTTAAATTATGCAGCTCTATATATCACTTTTGATGATATGATTTTCCACGTTTTCAAGTATATGTGAATGCGAATGAATTATGAATTGAAATGAATCATCTATATTTTTTATGATTGAGTTAGATTGATTTTTTGCCCACTGTCTTGATTTTTGCAAGTCAGAACAAATGTTGATGAGAATTTGATCTAACTGGGTTGCATGCCTTTGTCCCTAAAATGAGGGTCAGTTGGGGTGTGAAAGAAAGACACAAGAAAAATTACACATTGGAAATTGATAGTGGTCCACAAGTTTTTTTTTTGTACAAATATGTTCATGGTGTGCTTTGGCTATTTCTGTATGAAATAAAATTAACATAAGTTAGAGCAATACTGGAAAAATTTAAGCACATTTTCATACAAATCAAAGCTTTTTCTTGAAAAGTTTAGTAGAAATTATTATTAAGCCAATAGTTTAATACATTGAATTTTGATAATTTACTTCCTAAAAGATGTTTTATCACATAAGCCAGACATTTGCCGAAAAAATAAAACACTGCATGCTTAAACCATTCCTGCATACAGGCCTGTCACTTGAAAAGAAGTAAAAGCACTGAGAAAACATAAAATAACAACAAAATGTTGTAAATCTAACTTGATGCGGTCAGGTTAGGCAGATCCACTCAAAATTATATTACTTCGTTAGTCACAAAGATTATAGGTTCCACAGAGTAAAGATGGCTGCATGAAATTTATGCAATATAAAGTATAGCAAATACACAGATTTATGATAGCTCGGAAGCTGTAACCAAACTGAAACACCTAACAAGTTGTCACCAAGGAACCAAGTTTACCTTCAGTAATTTGCATAGTCTAGATAAAAACAACAGCTAACTTGATAAGGGACAAAATTGACATGGTCAGACAATATTCATGCATTCTCACATAGGAGGGAAAAGTTAAAGAAACTTACAATGGAATGCAATCAGAGATAAAATTTAAGATAATGCATATACAACAAGGGACAGCCTAACCAAACATACCTTATTGTTTCCACGTGTTTTCCATCTTCATCAAGCATTATCAGTTTTGGAGGTGAAGCATACACATACTGAACCTTGACAGACGGGAATTGATCTTTCTCTTCCTCAATGAATGCCACAACATCAGGGTAAAAAACCAGCTTTCTCATGCAAACCTCTAATATAGCACCAGAAAATGAAACCTGAAATTAAATCCAACCCACCAGAAATTTGTTAAGTATGGATGTTTATGGAATGCATCTCAAAAAACAAAAACTAGTAATTCTGAAGAATATGTGCATTGTCACTTCAAATGAGTTAATTAAGATTGGTGGCCTCCACAAACAAAGATAAATAAACAAAAAGTTTTAGATTCCAGAAAACTATTTCTTGTTCTGAAATCTTCAGAAAGTAGCCTGTAGAGCAATATATTAGCTAAGAACATTCACCTAATAGCCACTTTGCCGCAATATAAATAGGCCTACTTTAGTTGAATTTGGAAATTTTATTTGGAAATATTATTTAAAAAATGAATAAAATTTATTTACTTTTACCAGAACTTTACATTTATTATAAAAGAAGGAATTTTATAATTCCACAAATACATATAATTGTTTGTTGATTTCATATTTTGTCCACTGCATTGTTTAGACCACCATAGCTTCAACTTTTACAAAGTGCGATGGACTTTCTGCATAATACACAACAAAAAGGTTGAAAAATAATAATGGTGTGTCAAAAAAGATTGATGGTGATATTTAGCGACAAAAAAATCTTTAATTCAGGCCGTAAGAAGCTTGAAACTGTAAGAAAAAAGGGCTAAAAAACTAGGGTCCGCAAAGATAAGAAAGCAAGAGCGCTTTTCTTCAAAAGCTATTGTTAGGGTTTGGCAATCCAATTTGGCTCCAAAATACTGCAATTCATTAGCCTTATCTCAACGGATTGAAATACGTTTTACGAATTTTCACTGGTGATGCATAGAGTGCAATACTAATTTTGTATAAATGTTTATGACCAACCTCCTTACACTCACAATCTTTTGAAGCTAATTTTTATATTCTTGTCTAATGGGTGCATTTCTTACCCTTTGTTATAAATTTTTAAACCTCTAGATTTATTATCAACAATTTAGTCTTCTATTAATATCATTGTCCCTTCAATAAAATCATCATTCAAAATATTTTTCTCAATTTAGCCAGACATGCACCATGTCATTTTTATTTATGTCAAACGCAATTTCGCTTTCAGCAGTTTTTTGCCGCTAAAAGCCACAAAAAAAAAAAAACTAGCCTAATTGCACTTTTATAGCATTTATCTTTTTATGTTTCAATGATATTCTATTATTACATGATATTTCTCCATTTTAATCGCCTATACACAACTCTAACAGCAATATTCTCATTTATATTCACATCTTCTATAATAAATTCATAATACTTATACATATCACACCTACGTATCACTTTATTCTCCAATAGCACTGTCAAAAATTATCGATATTAAACCCACTAAAATTGCATCTCATACACTGAATTTTTATTCTAATAATCCTAAATTGGTATTTTCAAAACATTTTCTTCATTGTTTTAGCCTCCACTTAATGTAGCAAATATCTTACTGATAGGAACTAGCTTATGCTAAAGTATAAACCAAGGCACTAAAATTTAAATATAAATTGTTAGCATCTCTATAATCAATAAAAAAATAATGTTAACTTAACTTTGATCCTTGATAAGATCATCATACTACAATTTGTAAAATTTTGATCGCCCAACTATTCTAATACAAATTAATGCTGTATCATAGATATCTTTAATAACTTTAACCTACCTTTTGAATTTTTTTTCTTTAATGTGAAGCCAAATTTCAAGATATTTCCATAATGCGTGTGGTGTATCGAATAAATTATTGTGGTACTCACTCATTTACCTACTAAAAATCAAAAGAAACCATATAAGGAATTGTTTCTCTGCTCTATATATCTTTACAATAATTGCCTTAATTATAAAAATTTTTTCTATAAAGAATCTTTTTGGAATAAACAAAAGTGATTATTTGATACCAAAATATTTTTTTTAAGCCTAAGTTCCATTATTCTCCCTTAAATTTATTAAATTACACATGAAATTGCTGGATAATTACCATAATCTTGCGCATGTCCTTTGTTCTTACATATTAGCACTAAAATACCTCTCAAATCATTTAAAATGCCAATAATGTTCAAAATTGAAAAATCCACTTAACAAGAATTTTAGCTTATACCAAAGTTTTATCGTTATTAACTTCTTTAGAACTAAATCAATTTCAATGTTTCATAATCATATTTTAAGGATGGTCTCAATTAATTTTAATAATTTCTGAAAGCAGCATTTCATTTTTCATATATCTTTTTTTTTTAAAGAAAAAAAGATCCAAAGATAATCACTTTTAATGCATTAAATTTGATCAAAAAGTCTAGGCCTATTAACTTAGTAAGTCTATTTTATTTTCCATCTTTAATACTTAGCCAATTAAAAAGTAAATTACTCAAAATTGTAGCTTTTGCTTTGTCTGTTACCCTCTTTACATACGTTCCAGCTTTCTTATAATAAATAAAACCTTGATAGTAATTATCTTTAGCAACTTTTCAAATTACATATTTTATCTTTACAATCTTTAATACCTCCTCAATCCACCACCATGTTTCCTTACAAATATACAAACTGATTATAGAATCAAAAATTTTAATTAAAATCTTCGTAATGGAACTAGTCATCTTTCCCATATCAAGTATGGATAACAAAATGTTTCCAAATTAAATTGATTAGAAACCTATCTTGACATATTAATAAATTCTCACATTTCGAATTTTACGATCTTATCTTGGGGTGATTTTTTTTTTTTTTTAACATTCTTTTAACAACCATATGATTTAGGTTCATAATACAATAATCTATTATATGCAATTAAACTCTCCCTGGAAGTGGGATTTTAACTGTCCCTTAAAGTGGTATTAAAACCTTTGAAAAAAGATTTTATTTCCAGCTAAATAAAAAGAAAGCCATTTTTTATTTAATGACTTCAGTTTTAAACCAAAAAAAAATCCACTTCATTTCTTATAGTAGATATTCATCCTACACTATTGTGAAATCAATTATAGTTTTCCCTTGCATATCTATCGACTATTCCATATGTAAAATGAATTAAGTCATATTACTATAACTAGGGTTGACAAAAAAGCTCGTCGTTCGTGAACAACTCGTGTTTGATTTGTTCGTTAAACAAACGAACAAAACACAAGCAATTCTTTTGAGCTCGATCTATAAACAAGCCAAACACGAACAAACTTTTATTTGATCGTGTTTAGCTCATTTTGGCTCGAATTACATAAATAAATAAATATTATTATTATAAAATTTTTATGTTGTGTTTTAAAAAATATTAAATTTTATTCATTTTTATAAATAATTCAAGCTAATTTTGAGCCAAACATGAGCTGAAACGAACAAACGAATTTCAATCAAATCGAACACAAACATAATATCCACAAGTCATTTTAAAGACAAGCCTATTTCGATCTAAAAAGATTTCAAACGAGCTGAACAATACAAACACTAGGCTCGCTTAAGCTTGGCTCATTTACATTCCTAACTATTATATGTTTAAGTTACCCCTAATAATTTTCCTTTCTTCCACATGTATATGCTATAATAGTTCATCAATGTCTTCCCAAACTAATTCTTTTTTAAACTATCTTCTAATTCGACTTGAGAATACGATGACCTCATTGATAACTAAATTAATAGCAATCACTATATCACCAAGTTAATTATTCTTCATAATTTTATTTTTGAACTCTGTCAATTACTATATCAATATCAAATTTATTGTTATCTTCTTAACAACATATAATAACCTATAACCTTTCTTAAATTGCACATAACATTTCTAAATCTTAGTTTTATACATATCCTTTGTTCAATTTTCACTATCATTGGCGAAGCACACCAATTGTTGAGGACATCCTAGCCAACTCTTATAATTTTTTTCACCACAAGCAGGTTTAGTTGTTTGTTATTTACAAGTAAACTCCAAGCAAACTTTTTTCTAGTTCTCTCGGAGATCTGGTTAAATCGTGGAGCATCATTTATGGGAAAATACTAAAACTATTAAAACTCAAATTTGAATTTGATTCATGAATATTAACGTAAATTATGTTATTAGTTGCCAACCTAATTTCAATTCTCAATCTTTATCATTTGATATTAGCATTAACAGGTTTAATCATAAGTGCTAACTAGTATACAATGCAATTGATAGTTTCAATAGCATTAGTAGGAAAAAAATACCAAAATTTTAAAAACATTGGTATTTCAAAAATAATGATGATAAATTTGCAAAGATATTTGCTCCCCTCATTCTTTTGGTTTAAGATCAGTGGAATAATATGTTCTTGTCGAAACATGAAAGAATTCAAATCATAGATCTCTAAGTGTTAATGCTATGAAATTCCTAAACAAGATGTCTTTAATGGTAAAGCAAGTAAAAAACTACCTACATCAAACACCAAAAATCACCCAACTTAGTATAAAGAAATGTTTGTTTACGTAAGTTTGAAAACTAAATATTATTATAACTAAAAACAAATAAATTTTATCTCATTGATTTCAAGTTTCAACGGAAACAAAAGTGCCAATAAGCTTTACAGTGTAATTCTATTAATGCATGTGATGGTTAGTCATTAATTTTGGGCGTCCACACAAACTAGTAGGAAATGAATAGTAGCTTCCCAGACCAATTATTAAAAAAAAAAAACTTAATAGATGGATATAAAAGATTTTTACCTTGCTCGAGGAATCATTAGTATCATCTGAACAACACTTGCGGCAATCAGATACCAATTCTGCATTGGCAGCAAATGACACTTTTGAGCTTAATCATATTAATCTGACTACATTATGAAATGAATCTTAGATCTTGCAGATGCTCATCAGGTACACACTATGTAATTGAGAGATTATGATATAGACAAGCATAGATAACTCGCCTGAACCAATATCCCATGTTTTTTACACAAAAGAAATTCTTCCATGGTAGTCAAGAAATTAATTAAAGAATACAGTTAATTTGGCTTCAACAAAGACAATATCCTTCAAACATTGGAGGTTAGAAACAATGTGCCTCTACCATAAAGCCTTACTAACAAGATGATGGTTTCTGTAAAGCCAAAAGTTGCAACGTAAGCATATAGAGCCGGGGTTCATGATCAGCACTCAAAGTAGGCATCAATGTTACAAAATTCTTATGCGTATCAACCACAAAAGAGATCAAAATAACAGTTCCAAAAAGATAAAAAGTAATAGTAAGTTCCTAAAGCCCTGATAAATTAAAGCAAATCTATAATGCATGAAACATACGATGCTTTCAACGGATGACATTAATGTTTACTGCAGGAAAAAAATTAATCTATAAAATAACCAAAAAGAAGTTCTGCACCTAGTACTTGAAAAGGCCATTAGAATTCCATTCACACTTCAAGTTCCCATCCCTAAGTAAATCCAAGTAAACAACAGCCACCTAAAAGACTAAGAAAACCGGGAGGAAAAAAGATTGTGGACGACTAGGAAGGTGGCAAGCCTCATATTTTGGGACTGTTGCCTCTTGTAGTGATATTTGGAGGTCTAATAGAAGTAAATCATAAATACTAAGAAAAAAGAATTACAGTTAAAGATGGCTTACTGGGTAATCCTCAAGGCGAGATAGTAAGGCAGCTGCTTCCGGCTTGAATCAAAGAAAGAGTAGGTCTTTGACAATAGGTCATTGGCGTTAGATGTTGATAAATTTTCTTAATACAAGTTGTTCTGCATTTACCTTTATTGAGATTCTGATGACATTGGTTATCATGAGATGGGATGATGTATTTCAACAATGTATTATTTTCTTTTTATGAACTTAAAGAAATGTTTGAAGCCTGTGTTGCACATTCATAACATGGGCTTAAATAAGGTATTACAATGATTTTACAAACCAGCGTTGCACATTTATAAAAAGGGAATATTGAAGAAGTCTTCCCAAACTAATTCTTTTTTACCAATAGGACCCTATATAAGGTCCAATTCTTAATACTCTTCAAAGATAAGCAAAAGATATCCACTAAGCCCATCTCGTCACATAACCTAGACAAATCTAATGAACTAAGTCCTTTAGTGAGGCGGTCAACAACTAGCTCTCCGGTGGCGACATGATTTAGCTCTATTAGCCCGTTATTCAGTTTTTTCATGTGAAGAATCTATCAATCTCCACATGTTTGGTTCTATCGTGTTGCACCAAGTTGTTGGCAATGTTAATTGACGATTTGCTGTCGCACCACAACTTCATTTGAGTTCCTTGGTCCACCTTGAGCTCGATCAACAAGGCTCTCAGTCACATAATCTCGGCAACTCCTAAGGCCAAGGTCTTGCATTTTCCTCTGTTGTTGACCTCGCTACTACAAGCTGTTTCTTGCTCTTCCAAGAGACCAAGTTTCCCCTACGAATAAGCAGTATCCTGAGGTGGATCTTCTGTCATCTGCACAACTCGCTCAATCAACATCATAAAAGGCTTAATTGTCTACACAGTCATTCTTCCTAAATACCAAACCCTTCCCTGGTGCACTCCTCAGATACATCAGAATCTGATATAAAACATCCATATTGCCCTTCCTTAGATCATACATGCAACGGCTCACCACGTTCACTGCAAAAGAGATGTCGGGTCGAGTGTGACACAGATAGATTAGATGACCCATCAATCTCTGGTACTACTCACAATCAACCGGTTCTCCTGTCTCTCACTCAGCTTGCCCTTCTAGTCAATTGGAGAGACTGCAGGTTTGCAACCCAACATGTATGTGTCCGTGAAGAGATTTAGTAAATACTTTCTCCGGGACAAGACCATCCCTCAAGTCAATGGGTCACTTCAATCCCAAGAAATTAGTTGATCCGTCCATGAGCTTTCACCTCAAATTCATTGCCCAATCTTATATTTAGTTGGTCAATCTCTGTCTCATTATCACCGGTAACAATGATGTCATCAACATACATAGCAAGTATATGATGTCCCCTTTATGTTCTTGAAATAATACCGTATGGTCTGTACTGATCTGCTTATATCTCATGTCTACCATAGTCTTTCTAAACTTGTTAAGCCAGGCTCGATGAGACTGCTTCAAGCTACACAATAACTTCTTGAGCCTACACACCTTGCCCACTGTTTGGGCTGTATCGAATCCTTATGATATCTTCATATATACCTCTTCCAATAACTTATCATGAAAAAATACATTCTCACATCAAGTTGGTGTAGTCTCCACTCACCATTCATTGCCAGACAAACCAGTGTTCTCATTGTGGTCACATTTGCTATTGTTGCAAAGATTTCATCATAGTCAATATCATGTCTGATTGTACTATTTCGCCACCAATCGTTGTTTGTACCACTCTACCTTCTCGTCTGGAATTTGCTTCACTGTAAAGATCAACTTGCACCCAACTGTCTTTTTTTCTGCTGGTAGTGGCACTATCACCCATATTCAATTTTATCAAGAGCTCTAAGTTCTTTATGTATAGCCGCTTTTCACTTGAGATCCTCCTTAGCAACCAGCTAACACTTGAGTAAAGAGACAACGTTCAAAAATGCAATGAATGCTCCATATTAAGGTGATACGTTAGAATGTGAAATAAAATTAGCAATGTCATGTTCTCACCAAAAACGATTGAGAGGACGTACCGCATTGCTACTAAAAGTAGTCCTAAAAGTTGAGGGGTTAGGAGAAGATGGAGGAAGAATCATATCACCTGCGAGTTTTGAGTCGGAGATGGATGGTGTAAGCGCCTCAAGCGTTAGGGAAAATCGGGACAAGGCAATAGCTGACATAAGTGGCACTGTGGGCACCGTTCCCTCATTTTGTTTTCTTCTTCATGTACACCATTAGCTCACCACCTTCAGCCTGAATCCCACCACCTCCGAGTTCACCTCTTTTTTTTCCGATTCCTCAACTGATTCAACCCACATCACACGACAAGGCATTGCTCCCACATAAACCACTATCACCATTGCTACTCACCCCTCTTGCTTGATATCTCAGTATCTAGTGAGTCACCGAAGGGTGAGGTCACCTCATAGGTTTAGTACAGTTCAAATTCTCTAAATGACACATCCATGCTCACAAACAGTCTCTTATCTATCGGGCTCCAACAGACATACTTCTTCTGGGTAGCAGAACAACCTACGAACACACATTTCACAGTTCTGTGATCCAGCTTCCCAAAATGATCTATTATCCTTCACAAAACATATACATCCAAACACTTTCATTGGGAGAATCCCGCTATTATCTTTTTCCAATATATGACAAGGAAACTTCCAATCCAATACCCTCGATGTCATCCTGATGATCAATTGAGCAACAGTCAAAACTCTTTGCCCCCATAAATGCTTTGAGACATTCATTGTAATCATCATGCTTCGAGCTACCTCTAAAAAGGTCTATTTTTTCTCTCCACTACTCCATGTTGTGTCGGTATGTATGGATATGTGGTTTGATGCTATATCACTTGGGCTAATAAGTATTCCTCAAATGATTTGTGGGTATACTCTATCCCATTGTCAGATCTCAATACTTTCATTAATGACCATATTGAGTCTTACTGTCTTATGGAAGACTTTGAAGCAAACAAACACATCACCCTTATTTTTCATCAAATATAACCAACATGAGAAAAATAATCAATAAAAGTTCCAAAATATCAATAACCATTCATAGAACTTATAGAACAAGGTCCCAAAACATCAGAATGTATCAAGTCAATAATATCAGAATTTCTATTCCCATAACTTATATAAAGGCTTCTAATAAGCTTGTCAAACTCACAAGCACCACAAACAAGCTTTTATTTATTTCCCATACATCTAGGATGTAGCAACAACTTATCCTACACACTCCTCCCATATTCTCCTACTCCAACACTCTCTACCATGGGTGCCAAAGCTAAGTTCATCCCCTCCCGATCTAAGTACCAAAGTCCACTATGTCACGTTCCAATCTCAAGTATCCGACCTGTCCATTTCTCTTGAAAGATCACATTTGAAATATCAAAAGAAACAATATATTTTAGTTAGAGAGGTAATAGCACTATTGAATAAAAAATTCACTAGAAAAGAAGTAGCATGCAAAATATTGGACAAAGTCATATGATTGGTACCCCTCACTGTGCTCTTACCAACTACAGGTTATATTGTACCATCAGCAGTCTACATGCTCTCCAGTAGTGCTAAGAGAGTATAGGAAGAAACTCTAACAGTACTTGTCACATGTCGAAATGTGTCGGAATCTACTATACATTCTGATGATCCAATGATGGAAATAGAGAGGAGCATGTGTATCACAAACACATTTGTCAGAGCGCATACAAAACAATGTTACTTTTTTATGACGACTGATTGGAAGCATCCTCAGTCATATCTCCTCCTACTTTCTTCTTTCGCTTCAACAACTTCAAACACTCGTGATCCTCATTAGTAAAAACAACACATGTCTCTTCTTCCTCTGCTACCAACAACTTTGTCTGGTAGCACCCTTTTCCACTTTTTCGACCACCACAACCTCCACCCTATCTATGTCCACAATTGTTTGTGATCGTAGAAAAACACTTCGCACTCGGGTACAGTGGTGTCCCCTACCTGTATTATTAGGGGGTGAAATCCACCTCTAAACATGCACATGCATGCATTTACATAAAAACTATTTCATTCTTCATACATAAATTATTTTAAGACATCTTTATACATCTACTAATATGCATATGTGGCTAAAATTCCAGAGTCTCCGCATCACGGTGAGATCGAACCCTTGACCTGAGGGGA